GACCCTGCGAGCTTATGATGTCTAAACATGTAAGAAGTTGTGACTCTAGAAGTAAACACTAGGAATGTGTAAGAAACAGGTAACAAACTGCTGATAATTCTTCAGGAAATCCATATCCCCGGGTAATAGGTCTCCTGCCTTGTTGTCTGGAGATCTCATACTCTGAAAGATATAAAGAACAATGAGCCTTGCTGCTTTCTGAACTATCTCCCTTACCAATAAATACTTTGCACAAGTTAAACCACTCATATAACCATCTCATTGCCTTTCCACCTTGAAAAATATGTTCAGAAGTCAAAATAACATTACCAGATTATAGAATCCATTGCATATTCAAAAATCCACTTGCGATGTGCCATAAGCATAAACACGAACACAGAATTAGTCCCTGCAAACAATTTATATGATGCTGTTGAGGGGTATTTGAAAATAAAAATATTTATCTTTTACATACTGTAATGTAAGGCCCACTCTCAGATTAACTAATATCAAGTAATCACAACTTTATGAATATCCAGATTACCTTTAGAAAGATGTATAAGGCATTACCAAATAATAAATGATTAACACATTGTGTATGCCAAATAACTCATTCCCATCATAGGAAAGTAAAAAAACCTATGAATTGTATAAGTTAACATTGCATAGAGGATGCAGGTTTGGAGAAGGAACTATTACAATAAGCAAAATTGCATGGCTAGGAACTTTTTACCATTTTTAAGACCAGTCTTAAACTTACTAGTTTCTAGTAACCTGTCTACCAGTGTCTGTCTGTAAAGAAATGATAAAGAATTTTGTAACAGTGATAGAGTTTCTACTAAAATTTTATTTTCCTATGAGGAAATTTAATGGTTTTCACATTTCATAGCAAAAAAAAAAAATTGCAATTGACTGCTTTAGGTTGTTTTGTTTTCAGACTTTGCAGTGTTTTGGCTTCTAAAAAGATGTGGAATTTCCACACTATATAATTTTGGATGCTAACTGTGTTTCATCCCACATGCTTGTAATCTGAACACATTTGAGATAATTTCTTTGGAAACAAGGATTCACTTTTGGTTTTCAGGCTATGGTGTGCTGTCTGTTCTTGAAAGAGAATTCCCCAGTGTAATTAGTGAGGTTAAAATGATTTGAGGCCTTTTTTTTCAGAGAAGAAATTCCATTTTCCATCTAGTTTAACATTCTAATAGTTATCTTTGGGGTCTTGATTCAACCTTGTTGAAGTCTATCAGGTTCTTTCCACTGCTCACAGAGCCAATAGTATCAAATTTTCATTTGGCTTTGGTCACTACTGCCTGATTTTCAATACACTTTCTTTATCATTATACTCATAGTTAGTTTAATTTAGATCATCACTGTTGATACTGTGATTATTTAGATTTTTTTTTTTTAATTAACCTGCACATCTATTGCTCCCTATAATTAAGGCAGCACATCTGGGAGGTATTCCAGACAAATCTTTGTGAAGGCAGTCTAGTTCATGTTCAAATGGGTATCTTGCCATATTTCAAGGTTTCTTTCTGTCTTGACTTTGCTATGAGGTCAATAATTTTCCATAAGTTTATGTGGGGAAAAAGTTTGTTGAAACGATATCCAGGACCTCTTTTTAACAATAATTTTCCTTTGCTATATCTTGCCAAGATTATTTAAGCCTCCCAGTGCATATTTATAGGAAGTCTGGACAAGGATAGAAGGAGGATTCCTTTTTTTTCTCATTTAAGAGCCTTAAGATTTCATTGCTTTATTAAAAAGGAGAATTTTCACCCTGCTGTAGCTTTTGGATACCTGTGACAAATGTGTTTTCACAGGTTAGTCCAAGGTTTATAGTAAAAACATTTATATCCCATACGCAGTCATGGCACATGCCTTTGTGGTGGTGGATATACTCCAGAACCTTTGCCACCTGTTGGCCCCTCACCTGAGCCCTGCCCGGATCTGGAAGTGGTTTGTCCTCTCTGTTCCAGGGATAAGATTTCAAACCACTGCTCTTAAGCAAATTCAGAGCTCCTCCAAGACAGGCTTGGCTAATATTGCCTTGAGATGGAACCAGTAGAATGTTTACTGGAGGCTATGACATGGCTTTGACCTCACCTTTGCCTTCAAGTTTGTCCAGTTTCAAGTGCCGTGGATTTCACTGGTATTTTATTTTCTTTGTTGCTTGTTAACTGTTGTTCTTCTTTTATTACATTAAGTATGAAACAAACAAAGGAAAATACATATAAAAGTCGATTAGTCATTTTGTCCGTTGTCTAGGCAAAGAGGTCTGAACGCTCACCAAGTGAGGGCCATAAAACTTATTTGCAAGATTTTGGCATATGCTTAAAGCATTTATGCTTATTATAACATAAATAATGAAGCAGGATATGCCCAAGGATCCTATGAGTCCTATCTGGGACATTGAAAGGGTCTCACCCTCCCCAGTGCTGGTAAGCATCTTCTGTACATTGACATGCTCCGTGGTGTTTTCCAGAAAAATAACAAATTAAAAGCTCTGGACTCGGCTCAATCAAGAGAGCAAGTCTGGCAGAGCTGTGGGAGAGAGGTGGGCACTGGAGAGGAGAACTGGATTTTGACTCCTGGAAACTGAAAACCAGTATTTTTGAGCAGAATGCCTCCACAGATGGGTGAGTCCTGCTCCTGCTCAAAAATCACTCAGGAAAAGCCGCTCAAAAATCACTCAGGAAAAGCCGTTCAAAGGCCCTCACTGGCATGACACTTCACATAGGCTGTGCTCCCTTTGGAATTTCCCAGCAGAGGTCTGTCTCACCAGATAGTTCCCTAATGGAGTACAGACGTCATTCTTAATTTCCTGCAAAGAAACTTACAAGAGGTAAAGCTTTGAGAACAGCCCTTTCCCTTTTCCAAACTGCATTCCCATCAGAAAACTTGGAGAACTTATAATAGGAAAAAAATGTATTTTTTTTTAATTTAGTTGTGTGTTCTCAAACTGTTCTGAAGGGTCTATAAAGCAGGGCATGCAGCTGCACAATGGATAATCTGCATACTAACTCATTCCCTGACTATAGGCCAGAGGCTTCTCTGTGACAACATATGAGTTCTGACTGGGCACCAGGTCTGAAAAATATATGTACGCATTGTCATTGCACATCTGGAATTTAGAACTGCTAATGGATATGCTGTGATAGAAAAGTGTCTGGCCAATAAACTTGGTTTATATATTTATTTTAAAAAGCATTACCACATTTCTGGCTAGTAGCCTTTCATCCTCTAGACTTTACACCAGTGCATCTGGAACGCTAAGCAGCTCTTTCAGGGATGCAGCCATATCCCAAAAGGCACCTTTTTTATTTGAAATAGCTTTAAAAACTAATTAAAAAGGAGGAAGGTGGTGTTTTTCCCTATGAAGGCTTACATACCTAGCCTTTTATATCAGCTCCTACAGTCTCAGAAACCACAGTTGAAAATTCTCTCTCAGACTCTTCGTCAACCTACTTTATTTTCCAGGGTGCTGCTATAAACACGTGCAGCTGTCTTTGAATAATGTATTTTCACCCTATTACATGTGCAATTCAAAAGAGCAATTACTTGTGAGTAGGTTTTTGAAGGACTAGCAGTGGAAATCGGAGCATTTTGAGTTTCTATGTGTCACTTTGACCCCCCTCCTCATCGTAGTCATTGAGCCTCTGGACAGAGCAGATGCAAGAGTCCCTGTGCTACGACTTACCTTCCATAGGGTCAGAGATGCCCCGTCTGTCTACTCAGTCTCTCTCAAGTGCTGAGAAATAGCAATAAAAGAAAGACTCAGACACCAGCAAACAGCGAAAACTACAAGACTGCTGCCTGTCCAGGCATACTAATAGGTGGCCACCTGAAAATTACATTCCATGGTGATGCATGGAATGTATTTCAGCCAAGTTAAAGGCATGTCTCATTTACTGGCCACCTTTACAGCTATGAATCCCTGGCAGGCACAGTGTTTCACGTCTTGATGCAGAGGCAATGTGAAATGCTCTCCCACATGCAGGTAGTCTTTTATTTTATTAATGTTTGCTTCTATAAATCTCATACCTCTGTGCAACGTGCTCTGCGCAGAGAGTATTTTTTAGGCAGGAACCAACTCCAAGCCGATGGCAGCAAGAAGCACCCATGTATATTTAGTGAGGATTTGTAGGGCTGAATTACTGAAAACCTTGAGAACTAGAGACACATTTTTTTTTCTTTACTCAAATTAGGAATTAGGCTCAAACTGTGAAACAAGTCATAAAAGATCAGCTTTTTATGATCAGATCACCCAGACGGTTTAATGGCAGCTGCTTTGATGTCCACATAATGGCTTTGCAGGTACTTGGAGGACATGAGAAAAACAACCCAGGACCCCCCCTTCTGACTCATTTCTCACCCAAACTCCCATGATTGGCTTCATCAACAAAACAAGAAGCAGCCCAGTCAGTGCTTTATAAAGCTTTATTGCAAGATGTGTTTACATAATGCTGTAGAGGTGAGCTTTTTAACTACTTATATCAAGAAATTTTGGACACAGGTCTGTGGTCAGTTTTCCATATTGACCCTGCATGGCACAGAAAAAAAAAAAGTGTCATTGGATCTTTCCAGACAGTAAAGTGGGAAGAGTGGGGGGAAGAAGAGGCAGATAAAAAGAAAATCCCCCCGTTTTACACTAAATGTGACACAACTTCTGAAAGATCAATACAAACGGTAGGTGAGCTTCATGTGTAATAAAATCTTAAAAGAGTAGTTCAAGTTCTTTATGAAATAAAACAGAAACAAAAATGCAGTTTCATGGACAATTAAATTTAACATAGAACGAATTCACCTAAAATGAGAAAACAACAAACAAAACCAAAAACTCAACCAAAAGGACCTGTAGATAACATCTCTGACCATGCATGGCTTGTTTTTTAAATTACAATTCACAGAATAACACTGCTGGAGAGCCTATTTTACACTATGCTACACAGAACATGAAAAAACATGAGTAGTGACATTTACACAATTTTACAGTATTTCTCCTTTGTCTAAGAAACATGTCCTTTTCTACTTTACATTTTTTTACAATTCCCAGCTCACAAAAAAAAGGACACTATACGCGCAAAGACAGTCTTTAAAAAGGAGAAATGCACCCAATGCTACAAATACACCTTTTCTTTCACAGAAGCCTCTGTATTAGATAATGATTAAACAAAATATATCTCTATCTGCCACTCAGTGTGAAATGGACTAATTAGAAATAATTATAATTTTTTTTTTTTGCATAAACATAAAACTATACAATCTCTGCAACTCCTTGCATTACTTTGCTATGTAACTATTAAACTGCTTGTTAAAAACTTCTTGGGATCACATCTGAAATGAGGCAGTTTCTGCCCCAGTTGAAGAAGGAAGGTGGGCCTTGTATGTTGTTCAAGTGTTTGCGAGTGATCTTCCAACCATTGCCTATAATCAAACATTTTCAATAACGCTTCAGATTGTTTTCTTTCAGAGCCTGTAAATACCTAGCAGTTTTTCCTGCAGAGAAACATAGCCCTTACAGCTTAGACAAGTGTTACGTGCATCCTGATGCTGGAAGTACAGAGCCACCATCCGAATGTGTCACAGCCCACCCCAAATCCTCATTAGAGGACTGGAATGTGTAGTGATTGTACAGGAGTGAAAAAGAGAGACAAATATGCTCCTGCTTCTGTCTAACACCATATCTCTGTGCATCATTTATATGGAGGCAGGCAGTGTGTACGCCTGCCTACGAGTTGAGGTGGAAGGAGGAAGGATGTGAAACTGGTGGGCTGCCACATTCATCTCAGTGAAATCAAAGCATTGCAATAACCACAATGCACAGTGTACCTGAATCTAGACTCCTGCCATCGACCAAATGGCTTCTAAAGCATTTTGGACTGCTACTTGCTGTTGTTACATCACCAGGGAGGCTGCTGCAGGCCGAGTGCCTGACAAAAGGAATCATTCACTGCACCTACAGTGACATTGTGACCCTTGGGGTTGCAGTACATGTTGAAGTCCTAGTGTTGGCCAGGCTACACTTAGAGCACAGCACACCAGGGACTTAAGGTGCTGTCATGCATGATCTTGCAGGAGGCCCTTGCTGTTCACTCACATCAAGACTCTAACTCCAAATTTCTATTAAATCGGGACATTAACTCTTATCTTGATATTCGCATGTGACTTTCTATTATGCTAAAGCCAAAGTCTTATCTATCGACAAAACTGATGCCTTACTTTGCTGACGGAGTGAATCACTGAGATATTTACTATAAAAGGGGGTCAAAACAGAAAAAGAAATTTATTTTGAAAACTGCTTTTAAGGCTGCTTCCAGTGTTTATCAGAGCAAGAAAGATTCTCATTAAACCACTACTTTTTTGTTGATTTTGGATTATAGACAGGGATCTATCAAACAGAAGGGTCACACATAGCAGCCAATGGGCTATAAAACATCTAGAATCCATGAGTCTGGTGCCTGGCCTGACTGAAAGGTGAAGAGTGATTAATTTAATTTTTGTGATGGATCTTTCACTCTTCATCATGGCACACAAGCATTTCCTGGGGGTGTTTCTTCACTGTAGCCACATAACTGCTACTTAACGTTATCCCTAGGTTGGGAGCGAGGGAATACAAAGTAATTGTATGTAGTCTCCTTTTGAACACCACGCAAGATGAAAGGAAATCAGGATAGCTTCCCTTTGGCAGGGAAGCTAAAGTTTACCTCAGCATCCAGATCAGGAAGACATTATGGTGGCAGACAAGTGCCAAGACAGACAAGTTATTGGCAGCAGGTGGGTGCTGAAATGAACACCAGCAGTGACTGAGAGCTTGGTGGAGATACAAAACTCTGGGCACTACATTTGCAGCTGACTGGTACTATGGGAAAGGGAAGAGAGGTAGTTATTATGGCTGCAAGTGTTTAAAAACAGCCTTCATGTATCTCTAAGTGAGAAATGGGAACATGTGTTACTACATCGTGTATCCAAGACTTTTATATTTGTTACAAACCAATCCATATCTCACACATGTTTTAAAGCAAGTGTTACATCCTTATGGTGGGCACTTCTGATGATGGAGGGGCAGGCAGCAACCCAAAACCCGAAGGTTACAATGTCATTAGACAGACAGAGAGAGGCATGCAGATATTACAAATTCCTCCATTTCATCTGGAATCCACTAGTTAGATGAAGGGGAACAAAAGTTATTCTCACAGTCAGGACATGTTGGCAGATTTCAGAGGAAACACTGCCACCTTACAGATTAGCACATAGGGCTTCAGGCCATTTTTATCAGGAACTGGAATGGAAATATTTTCTGTAGTTACTGAATTGTTACCGTGTCTGATGATCTTGTTGCAATAAACACTGAGGACAGTGGAATTAATCTGACTGTATACTACTGCATAAACACAACCAAGTTATTCTTCAATAAAAAATGGTATTGGTTTTACAGATAGAGAGCACAAATGGAAAAACAAACATAATGGAAAAATGGACAAGGAAGAATATGCTTCACATGTAGGACATTTGCATCCAGAGAATCCAAAAGAAACCATCTTTTTTTTCCCCCAAAACGTATTCTAACCCTTATTATTTCCCATATTTAATGTTCTCCTTGATAAGGAGCATATAAAGTTTTGCACATTTTTGCAAAATTCTTGGAAAATACATATGCCCAACTATTAGTAATTCATCAGCTATGTT